ACAAAATATATTTTTAAAAAATATGGCTTTATTCTTCCTCTTTGTGTAGGAAAGAAAGACTGACTTTTTTTTTCCTTGTGAGACAACAATGTGGCAAAACAAAGATTATAATAGTCTTGAAAAAAAAAATGTGCCAATGTGTTTATGAACTACTGGGATTAATCTAGCTGTACATGGATTCAAAAGAGACCAAAGTTAGGAATATATTTTTGTGACAAGGGCATTAAATTCATTAGTGTAGCTCCTAATCGGTGTGTAGAGTTTGATTTCATAATGTACACACCATCTCATTTATTCTTCACGGTAACACTGCAAAATAGTGGAAAACTTATTTGAAAAGTGATTAATTTTTCTGTTATTCTTTTCTTTATTTTACACCATAGTACGTTGTTATCAGCATCTCACAGGTGGTAAACCTATAGATGTTTAAATAGATATTCCCCTTTTTGAGGAGAAGAAGGAGGAAGAGAAAAAGTTCTAATTTTGGTTTTCATTCATGTCATGGGACTCAAAATGTTTTATTACGTTTTTATTGTGGTGCATTCACTTCTCCTGGATTCTGTTAAAAATAATTAAATGTTTTATAATTTAGTGTCTCAATAAATGTTCAGTACTTCTTTGTGAAAAATGTAGTTGGGTTTACAGAGCATTTGTACAATATAAAGTTAAGTATTTCAATACACTAAATTGTATAGATGGTTGATTTAGCCACATAAGGAAATAAACTTGCATGTACATGAATCAATAGATTTGGAATTATTCCGACAATAAAAAAGGAAAATCATAGCTAGGATATTTTCTCTAAGTATTAGCATTTACATTCTAAATGCTAAATTACCAATAATTTATTTGTTATATCAAAAATTTTGTTCTTTCTGAACTATAGGGCTCTTATTTTATATAAGTAATATTTAAAACATATTAGTTATAAAAATAACATAGGAATGATAATTTGGTTATGATATCTAATATCTTTCTTCCACCTCTAATGCTTTTGACTCTAGAAAAGTTATTTTATTCACAAAGAAATGATAGTCATTGACCTTTAAAAGTCATTTTTACATAAAATGAGACTTTTTAATATAAATTCTCAAATATTTGTCCATTTTCCAAGCAGTATGAACATTTCAAACCTAGATTTATTCTAAATTCCAGAGAATATTTGATGTCTATACAAATGTTTTAAATATTTTGATATTTTATAAACTAAAAATGAATCACTGAATGTGCTCCATTATTAATAGCATGAATGAAAGCAAGACACTTTTCCATGTGTATTATAATTTAGCATGAGATGACATCAACTGTCTTTTCTAAATTAAAATCTTACAAAGTTATAATTGTTATTTTAAATTGCTACTTGAAAATTATATATTTTAACAATTCTAAGTTATTCTTTTTAGGAAAATGTAAATAACTTACATTTTTGTTTTTAAGTCAATAACCAACTCAGCATGCTAGAAGTTTAAAACAATAAGATAACTACAAATGTACATGATACTTATAAATTTAAATGATTTAGACCAACTTCTAGACTCATCATACCTATTTATATTAGGAACATCAATATATGATTTTAAAAGTTTGTAATTTAAGAGTTTCTATTGTTCACAAACTTTATTCTTTAATGTAATACACTTTCAAATAAATCAAGATTTCAAGGTCCTTGTAGTACATAGAAAGACCAATTTGGTTCATTGCCTCACATTTTTTACTTAAATACCCCTATTTCGTGATACATACATGCAGTTTGAAAATTACTAAGAAAGCATAGATTATCTTAGTTGTCTTTCTCATTCGCAAAGCGATTAATAAACTGCTTTCCTATAACAGTTTTAATAAACTGCTTTCAATGATAAAGAATTATTTAGAATTAAAATAATTGATATAGAAAGAGTGCAAAATCTATATAGAATGCCAATTGCAAAGTTATCTGTATGGAAATAAGTATTGTTATATAAACACTTTCATGAAGAATAATATTCTGAGGTATAATTACATATGTAAGGAAGATGCATTTTTATGAGTAGGAAACTCAAGAAAAGAATATTATCTTTATCTCTTTAGAAACAAAAACAAATACATGTAATATATTATAATTTGGCATATAATATATAAACTCATTTTTGCATTTTATGTATTATAAATGTTTGTATTTTGTATATGTTTTAAGCATATGTATTATTTACATTTTATAGAATATATAACAACTTAATAAAGTTATTTGGGAAGTAAAAAAAGTTGATAATAAATAATAAAGAATAAAAAAGTTACTATACATTGTATTTGGAAAAAAATGGCATCTGCAATCAAAATTATTTTTCAATTAATAGAAACATAAAATTTACATTAATTTAATTTATTCCCTGTTTTACAGGAAATATTGATGAAGCAGAACAAGAATGGAAAGCAGGATTCCATCGCTGGAACAATTACATGATGGACTGGAAAAATCAATTTAACGATTACACTAGCAAGAAAGACAGCTGTGCAGGTCTCTAATTAATAGATTTACCCTTTGTAGAATGTTCATTTTCCTGTAAATCAAGGCAAAAATACCAGTAGCTCTCCTACACACCTAGCAAGAAGCTATTATATAGCTGAACAAAAATGCCAGAAGGATAATATCGATTTCTCACATCTATCACTTAGCATTGTACCTAGCATTCCAAAACCCAAAAGGCTAGAACATGTTTAATTAAATTTCACAGTACTAAAGTGTGACAGTTAATTATATGCATATTTAAATGATTTGTGGCTTCAAACTTTTTCTTTTCCAAATAACATTAACACTTATTTTCTAAAAAGTATCTCTATCCTAATTTTGAGTTGCATTTTTTTCCCTAACCACTCATAAAAGGGTACCTTTTTAGAATGAATGAGGTCTTGAAACACTGGGTACTATAATTTACAATACCCTTTCCCCTAAATAATTTATGAAGTTAATGTCAATATGAGCTGCAAAATGAAACAGAAAATAACTGTTCCTTTGTTTTTAACATGAAGCAGGAGGGAGTCTTAAAATAAGAGGCTTGGTCGCTTAGAAACAAAATGTTGCTACCAAGAGATAAAGAGCAAAACAGTGCATGCCTGTTTTATATTTTTAGTAACATATATTCTTAGAATCCTCAAATTATATTCTTTATTCTTTTAACTCTTGCCCATTTGAAACTCCCCACTCTCTTACACCTCCCCAAACATGTATGTGTATAAATTACTCTTCTTATAACTCCCAACAAAATGTAGATGAGCAGAAGTCTACAGTCAGAAATCATGTACCGTCTGGGATAGAAAACCTGGATGGACCCAGAAATATTTGTAAAAATGGTTCATTTTTCATAGGAAAATTGTTCAATTGCAAAAAAAATAACTATTTCTACTTTCAACAGCCAAATTGTATTATTTTTATAACTTAAAAATGGCAAAGCTACATGCACTAACTTGCATGGCAAAGGACCGTATCTAGTGAATAAAGTTATTGTAATTCACTAAAGAGGATGAGTTGGAAGGGAGAAGTTCCAGAAAATGGTAGTACTTATTGATTATGTTCATTAAGAATAGAAAACTAGCCCTGGCTGAGTGTGGATCAGTTGTTGGGCATCATCTCCTGTGCACCTCAAGGTTCCTGGTTTGATTCCCAATCAGGGCACATGTTCTGGCTTGATCCTCTATAGGGAGCATGCAGGAGGCAGTCCATGGGTGTTTCACTTTCACATTGATGTTTCTCTCTCTCTCCCTGCTTCTCTCTCTAAAAATCAATAAAATGTCTTAAAACAAACAAACAAACAAACAAAAAGAATTGAAAACTAGCACTCAAGATAGGACAAAGTGAGTCTACAGGTCTGTATACTGTTGGTAAAAGCATATCCCATTGTTCATTTTTCCTGTGTGTCCATGGTTAGAGCTAGTGTGGGTCTGCCATCCACACTCAAAGTTCATGGTACTTTGTTAGCTTTAGCTGTTGCAGCGGTTCTCAACCTGTGGGTCGTGACCCCATTGGCGGTCGAATGACCCTTTCACAGGGGTCGCCTAAGACCATCCTGCATATCAGATATTTACATTATGATTCATAACAGTAGCAACATTATATTTATGAAGTGGCAACGAAAACAATTTTATGGTTGGGTCACAACATGAGGAACTGTATTTAAAGGGCCAGAAGGTTGAGAACCACTGTGTTAGAGTTTTACAGTGGAAGCCAAGTCAGTTTTGATATCACTTCAGTACTGCTATAGATTGACTTTTTCTGTTATTGTTTATGGTTCTTCCCTCATATTGAAGTGAAGAAAAAAAGCATACAAATGATAGGTGAATTACCGACCTCCCATCCTATATCTTCTTGATTTCCCAGGGGCCATTCTTCCAGGATATACTATATTTTTTGGAATCACTTGAGACTCCTTTTGATGTGGAATACTCTGATATATGAAAGGTATCATTTTTAAAGGCAAAGTAATTAATTTCTGGCCCAGAAATTAAATTCCACAGATAAATCTTAACGTAATTGCTGCTGTGACATTTTAGCAAAATATTCTAATAATTGGAACCTTCTCAACATTTCTGAAAAAGATGACAAACTCAACAGTTAATAAATTTTTCTGTTGTAGTTGTATGTTCTCTTTATACAAAATTAGAATGGTAAAAAAAAATAGGAAATGGAGGTTTTTTTGACTAAATGTATTTAAAGGTAAACCAATAGTGCTGTTTACCAATACAATCTTGGTGGAACCTTCAGACTATCAAAGAATAAAACAAAGACCACCACATTTAAACATATACACCCAGACATGCACACAGAAAGATGCAAAAACATGCATTTTTATGTATAGGAGTTAATTAATGTGCAACAAGAGATCACCTTAAAAATTTTACTGAATTATTACAGGAGGGGGTTAAAAAGAGATTTTGCCATATTTTTTAAAAAGCATTATCTATCTATATATAAAAGGCTAATATGCAAAGTGTCCCCTTGGGAGTTCAACCAGGAGACCAGGAGTTGGCTATGATGTGCACTGACCACCAGGGGGAGGCGTGGACCGAAGGAAGGCCTGGCAGGCAGTTGGCAGCCGGGGAAGGGAGGCCTGGCCAGCAGCCTGAAGGCTCTGATCATCCCTGATCACCAGCCCGGCCTAGGAACCCTACTGGTGGACGAATTTCATGCATCGGGCCTCTAATAGTCATATAATGGCCATCTGTTCAAGTATTAAAAACTAAGGTAATCCAAACTCATCAAGTTGTATGCCTTAATTATCTACAGCTTTTTGTATATCACTGTACCTAAATAAAATTATTTAAATTTTTTAAAATATATATCTATATGCCTTATATACCTGTAAAACATGTGGGGGTTAGGAGTAATGGATTACAAAGATATAGTGGGAAAATGTATTTTAATTTTGATGATGATTTCACAAATGTATATATATGTCAATCTTATCAACTTGAACATTTTAAATGTCAAGTATATCTCAATAAAGCAGTTTAAAAAACAAACAACAAATAAATAAAATAAAGAGTCTTTCCTATAAAAAATAACTAAGGTAAGATTTACATACATTTTATAAGTGTAGATATTAATAGAAATAGAACTATATGTTTATTATGTATAAACATATAATTACAAAAAATAATATTAAATTGTTATTAGTCATATTAGAGCCAGTTGTGATATAAAATACACAGTCATTTTGATATGTCATTGGCATGTGCTGCTATAATTGGAAAAAAATTATTTACAAATTAATTAAAGAGAGAAATAATAAACCAATTATATTGTTAGTAACTGAGTGAGGAATATTATTAATCAAATTATGAGGTTTGTAGTCTCAGGAGAATAAACTATAAAAATATATATAATATTGTTAAGAATTCTAAAATCTTTGAAATGAATATGCCAAGAATATTATCTATCACCTATCTACCCATCCCTCTATCTATGTGTTATCTATCTAGAATAGCTACCCTCAATTTTAATCAAAGGGGAAAAAATACCACCAGATAAATAGTAATGGTATAGCTAATTCAACCTGGAATATAAATTCAAAGTCATTGCCATGGCTAAGATAACTTAATGCTTCCCATCGCATGACCAAACTTTGGACAGAAGTCTTCCTGACTGTAGGTCTCTGACCTCCCATTTCTTACTTAGAGCATTAACTTCAGAAATCTTACAAATGTCAATTCTTTCTCTGCTTCTTGAAATATCTGTAAAGCTCCCAGCCTCTTGCCACGTTTTTTTTTCCACAGGAAATGTCTTTCACAAAGACCTGGGAATGATTGCTTTGAATCTAAATATTAAAAAAGATAGTGCCTTCATCGGCCAGTCTCTGTGGGCAGATAGGATCCTGACTTTGAAGGGAGCCAATTACCAAATACATATGGCCTAATCATAAAGAAAAACATTTGCCATTCCAATAACTCAGTGTGCTCAGCACAACTTATTAGTCAACCCTTCCCCAATGTCCTTCAGTACTTTTCCACTAGCTCACCTCAGCTTTTATTTCAGAGGAGTTCAATTTTTATCCTCTATTGCAGTAGTCTTGCACAAACTTTCTCCTGCCTGTTGACTTTATTCACTGTAATTTTTACTTTAAGAGCCTCAACCAACCTCTAAGATTTCTTAAAGTGCTTAGGACACAAATACATTTCTATCAATTTTCTATTGCCATGTCAAGAAAATACAAATATTTTTCTTATCACAGATACCCTTCAGGAACAGTAATTCTCTTAACAACTTAATGAAGAAGATGGCAGACCTTGAATTTATGAGATGTTGAGTTTTTACTAACTTTTTGGTAGTTTTTTTCCTAATATATTTTAGACCTTAGGCAGATAATAATCTGCATATTCCAGAATATTTTCTTCTTCTTTTCTACATGAAATATAAGTTTTCGTGGTGATAATGTTTTCCTGATAGATGGTTATGGACAAACTCATTTTGCACATAACATTCCTTTTCTTTACCCTTTTCTCTTCTCTCCTCTCTTCTTTCTTTTTCTGTTTCTTTAATGCAAAGGAATAGCCACAGATCCATAAGCTGTGGTCTAAAAGTCACTGGTAATATAAAAAATTGCATTTATATCTATAATGCAAATTTTCATTATGCTGTTAAGACCTTTGGGAACAGACCTTAGAAAATATGATTCCCAGAAATATATGAGTTTTGGGAGGAACAAAACTTGGTTTTCAGCACATCAAATGAGACTTTAGTCTATTGCCCCAGGCACAAAATAACTTTTTTTTTTCACGAGGACTCTTCCTCTCCCACTGTTCTTAAAAGAGATTTTTCTGGTTTTCTTTAGTTGAAATGTGCTATCTTTGTTTTACAATGTTGTAATATGCTAATTTTGAAGTTACTATCTTTGTGCAAGGTAATAAGTGAGTGAAAAACAAATGCTAACATCTGCTATGGCATTTCAATTTTAAACCAAATGTGTGTATAATATTCTCTTTGGTAAGTGAATTAACATTTTCACATAACCATGAAAGATAAAATTTTAATAATCTCCCTTGGAGTTGTCTCTTTGAAATCATGTGCAAAGTAAGAAGTGAGAATTTTAACAGAACACTATTCCTTCTTTCCTTTTAGATTTTTGAAGATTTCAAAGACAGTAAGTACCATGTCCTCTCTCTCTCAATCCACCTGGCATTAAAGCCAGTTAGAGAGGCAGCTATCCATTTCTCTTAGAGTAGATTTAAGGCTACCAATGATTGTGTTAAATTCCAGAACACACAAGCTTCTTGATCACTGTTTAGCACTGTTATATGAAATTACATTTCATATACATTTTTCAGTACCTGGAAAACATTCTAACATTTCTATGATGTCTTATAATCATCTTTTCAACCTTTACATTAACTGTCACTACTTCTTGAAAGAAGAGAATTTTAAATTATTACTCCAAGTATGTCTTAATGCCCTAATGTAAAGTAACACATTACTAGTATCAGTCTAATGCATAGGGTGTCAATTTTAGTAAATTTGATTGGATCCCATAGATCCCATCTTAAGAAAGTCAATGGTAATATTTTGGGACATTTTCCCATATAAGACATTCCTACTCATCAGATTTTAAAAGCAGCTTTAGAGGAGAACTACTTGTACCATATAAGAGGACAGGTACCTGTGGCCCTCCATCTTCAAAACTATGTGTTGGTTGCATATCTATATCCTAATTAACTATCATCTCTTTTTCTGTCTTATTTATCTACAGAAATGTTATTAGTATATTAACATTTTTAAAAGTATCTTCATTTAAAAAATCTTAGAAAATATAAAAAATAAAAAATTGCAGTCATACTGACCAAAGATAACTTTTTAAGCATATATGTATATGAATTTTTATCTACTACAAAAATGCATATGTTTACATAACATACATATTTCAAAATATCTCTCAGGATATACTGAGATAAAGTTTCATTCACTTTTTATTTTTTATTTTAATGTGTTCATTCAAAAATGCAAATTTAGAGGAGTAAACAAAAGATTTTCTGCCTAAATAACTGGTTGAATAGATTTATCATATTCTGAGGCAAGGAAAGTTGTAGGTCCAGCAGGTCTAAATAGAGAAGCAAGAGTTTGGTTGAGGATGTGTTAACTTTCAGATACCTATTAGATATCTAAGAAAGAGATAGAAAAAGCACTTTATTAAATAAGAGGTGAATGCAAGGAAGATGTCTAGATTAGAGATATAAATTAGGTTGTCGCCAACATCGAGATGTTATATAAAGCCATTGGACTGAAGGAGATTACCGAGGGATTGGGTGTAAATCTGGACTGAGCAGAGCCAGCACTCCAGCACTGAGACTTGATTTGATGTTAAGTCTCTGTTAAGCTATGGTACTATTGCCAGATCTTTAAAACAACAACAAAAACTTGCTTCTTCCTAAGTTTCTAACCTTGACTCATCTCCCTTCCATCTATAATTCAACAAAATTTTCCTTTTGGAAAAAACAAAACAAAAACAAGTTTTTTTTTATATCTAAGACAATCTTTTGGTTAAATTTATATCACCATTTAAATATATTTTCTTCAACTTCATAGCATTATCTACCAAATAAAAGTCTAAAAATAAGTAGAGTTTTGTTTTTATGCATATAATTATATATATATATATATCTGTTTGGACACTTGCAATACTTATACATATATGCATACAGACCTATAATTCACAGGCTAAATAATGACCTCTCCCCCCCAAAAGACATCTACTTTCTAATCCCTCGAACTTGTAAATGTTACCTTATATTGCATAAATTAATTTTGCAGAAGTGATTAAGTTGAAAATCTTGAAAGGAAAAGATAATATTGCATTATCCAGGAGGGCACTAAATACAACAATATGTATTCTTTTTTTTTTCAATTAAATCTTTATTGTTCAGATTATTACAGTTGTTCCTCTTTTTCCCCCCCATAGCTCCCCTCCACCCGGTTCCCACCCCACCCTCTACCCTTCCCCCCGCCCCTGCCGCCACTGTCCTCATCCACAGGTGTATGATTTTTTTCCAGTCTCTTCCCGCACTCCCCACACCCTTTTCCCCCTGGACTGACAATTCATATGTATTCTTGTAAGACAGAGGCAGAGGGTGATTTGAAACACAGAACAGGAGAAAGAAGGTGATGTGACCAGGAAGAGATTGGAGGGATTCAGACACAAGCTAAGAAATGCCAGCAGCCAGCAGAATGTAGAAGATACAACAAATGAATTCTCCCCTGGAGCCTATGGAAGAAGGTGGCCCTGCGGACACCTTGGTTTTGACACGGTGAAACTGACTTCAAATTTCTCACCTCTAGAAGCAGAAGAGAATAAATTTGAATTGTTTAATCCATCAAGTTTGTGTTAATGTGTCATACCAGTGATGGGAAATTAATAATTATTAATCTAACATAATTTTCCCTAGGGTTTTAAAGTTGTTTTCAAAGCTATTTTTAATCTGCTAGTTAAAATATATCTTCATTTTGTGACAGTTTTCAGGTATATATCCATTATATGTGCTCGGTCCACTCTACTCTCCCTTCCTGTGGCCCTATCATATTTGGGTCCCACTACCTGAATCTGTCCCACTTTAACTTTTCTTGCCCTGGCAGGTGTTGGTTGAGCATTGTCCCATGAACCAAAAGTCATCAGCTTGATATCAGTCGGGGCACATGCCCTGGTTGCTGTCTCAATCTCCAGTAGGGGGCCTGCAGGAGACAATGGATCCATGTTTCTCTCTCACATTGATGCTTCTTTCTCTCTCTCTAAAAATCAATAAAAGCATTATTTTTGTTTTCTTTATTGCTTTCCTCAGAAATACTCTGAAGTTTCCCCTCCAGTGTTTGCTCCTCTTCCTAGATTTGCCTTCTCTACCTAATCCTTTATTCTATTACCACCATTATTTTTATTAAATTTTGTAATTTGTGTTTTGCATCTCATATTGTTTTTATTTCAACTTATTTCCTCTTTTTGATTTTCTGTTATAATTCCATAAATGCAAAAAAATCCCTTTAACCTTTTAAAATAAATTTTTATTATTCACAAATATTCTAAAAATTTCTAATTATTTATGTGCTAACAATTTCTCAAGCAAGTATTCTTTGATATAGCCATTTATTTTAGATTAATTATTTTTCCAGAGCCCTAGGCTAATACAGTGTTATGTGATAGAAATGTTGAGATAAATTTAGTCAAAAATAGGTGGCAATTCCTGGTCTAATCCTTAGGATACAGGTAAAGGAAGAGGAGGCAGATTATATTTAATACAGTTTTAACCTATCAGTGGGCAATTCCACCGTCTGGTCAAGTCCAAGAAGAATTGTGAGTGGAAGGTCCTGCCACAAAAAGCTTCTGAAAAGTTTCATCTCAAGATAAGTGTGGTAGACATAAAATCGCCCTATCAATGCGCCATTTCAGTTTGCTTTTTTGTTTTACTTCTTTGTTTTATTTCATTTTATTTCACTTTGCATAACCCTGGGATGCACCATGATTTACCTTGAGAGGTTTGTTTTGCTCCTTGGCTAACTCACTTCTCAGTACTAGAAATATTATTATTTTAAATGGTAGAATCCAAATGCTGTTGATCTGTAGGGGCAAAGATTTTTAAAATCCTGACATTGTACCATGATATAGGTTGATGTTATGTGTGAGTCTCTTTTTACCCTATGCTGAAAAAAGAAGAAAAAAAAACTGCATCCCCCCCCCACCAAAAAAAAACAAACACAAAAAAACTGTAGGTAAATCAGTGTGACAGAAATTGTTCATTAGAATCTCATAGACATATATCATCCAAAAAGAGTAACTTCAGTATTATAATATTAACTGGTGCACACACTATTGGTATTAATTATTCTAGAGGAAAAGACAATAAAAAATGTATGTCAACACCATCAGATAATAGTTACAAGAGCTATAAAATTATTTTACCTAAACACAGCACTGACTACGTTTTCATTTTGAATAGCACTCTACCAATGATTTTATTTATTTTTTTATCATGGACTCAAAAACTCTCAGTCATGCTTTATATAATTATATGGTTTGGTAGAATTTAAAGACACCTCTTATTTTTCATGGAGATATGTATAATTAAGAGTCAAGAGGCATGGTGCTGCTGAGATAATCAATTCTTGTAGCTCAGACATATTAAATTCACCCAATGCCTCTTCTTTCAATTGTTTTAAGATAGCCCTGGTTGATAAAGGTCAAGATGAGCATGTGGGGATTACTAAGCTAAAAGATTTTAAATGCTAATTAAATATAAGAAAATTATGTTGAACATAATTTACTTCAAAAATAAACTAAGGAAATCGTGTCTAATTCAATAATGTCTTAAGAAAAATCCCTGCCTCACACAAAATTTCTGAAAATTATTGGTCTCAGAATGCAACTGATTGAAATAAAGAAACCAGCACAGAATGTATGTGAAAGTGCTGAAATAAAAAAGGAAGAAAAGAGGAAAATAAAGGATGGACAAAAACATTAGGAAAGCAAAATTGGTTTCATGGAACAGATAAAAATTGTGGCCAAATAAATTACCATTAAATCTAAAAATCTTAATAATAGAACAAGAGACAGTATGAACAATACGTGCTTCAAAGCAGAGATGTAAGAATTTAAGAAAGATGAGGTAGGTAACAAAGAAAGACAACATGAGTTGGGACATCACAGGGGGAAAAGTCAGCAGGGAAGAATAATCTCAGCTATGAGGCCTCCACTAGGAGCAACACAAGAGAGAACTATCCCGGCTGAAAACACAGTGAAAATATAACAGGATTGAAATGCAAATAAAAGTAAAGAAAGTAAAAAAGAAAAAAAACACACAAAAGATGAATATAGAAGATTTAGAGAGGAGATCTAATAAAACCAGCTTGCTCTGTGTGAAAATGAAATAAGAGGACAAAAACAGAGTTGATGATATAATACAAGAAAGCGTACATTAAATACAACTGTTTGTCTGTGAATTGAAAAAGGGCACGATTTCTCTGCAAAGAAAGAGTAAAAGTGGTCACATAGCCTAGGAATTCAACAAGACTTAAAAAAAAATTCTTTATCAAAAGATTAGAAAAACAACATAAATGTCCACTAATAGGATAGTATTGAAGCTTTAGTCATAAAATGAAATACCAAACAGCAGTTAGATGAGGTAAGTCTTGCTGATATGAAAAATAACCAAGGTTTTTTAATTGGAAAAAGTCAATGTGCATAATTAGCTCAGGAAACACAATGAAAAATAGTAACAGTGAATGACTCTGAGGAAGGAACTAGCTGGCTGTGATACAAATTGAAACTAATAATTTATTTCACATGTTCTATTTTTTAGTGCCTTTTATGCTTTGTAGCATACATGTACATATATTACCTATGACAAATAACATGTCATTTTAAAAAGGCCACCAAAAACATATCTATCCTATATAATAAAGAACTAATATGCAAATGGTCATCACACCTTCATGCCATCACACTGTAATGGCTCAGACACTCAACACTAGGAAAAGAGGAGTGGGAACCAGCCAGGCTACAGCTGGAAGAGGGACAAGCCGCCCACCCACGGTCTCCTGCGGCTGTGGCTGGCCCGGGGGAAGCCGGCCCGGGTCCTGGGTGTCTGTGGCCGGCCAGAGGGAGGGAAACCCGGGTCCCGGATGCGTGCAACTGGCCAGAGGAGGGAATCCTTGGGTGCAGGGTGAGGCAGAGGCGGTTAGGGGCGATCACGCTGGTTGGGGAGCAGTTAGGGGGAATCAAGCAGGCAGGAAGAGGTGGTTAGGGGCAATTAAGCAGACAGGCAGGTAAGTGGTTAGGACCGTGGATTGTGAGAGGCAGTCGGACATCCCCTGAGGGGTCCCGGATTGGAGAGGGTGCAGGCCAGGCTGAGGAACAGCCCCCTGCACTAATTTAGTGCACTGGGCCTCTAGTAATAATAATAAAAGAATAATATGCTAGTTAGACCAGACATCATTCTGGACATCCTTCCTGACTAAGCTGGGGACAGAGGGAAGCCTGGGCCTGAAGGAAGCCAGCCCGGTCCCAGGTGCCAGAGGGAAGCTGGTGATGGCAGCCAGAGGAAGGAAGGCCTACTCTTGCATGAATTTTCGTGCATCGGGCCTCTAGTATACATAATAAACACATAACCACAGACAGAGTACGGAGATAGCCAGGGGAAAGGAGAGATAGATGGATGCGGACGAAAGACGGGGAAGGAGGATGGAAAGAGTCTTTGCTTGGGTGCTGGGCACATGATGCAGTGTGCAGTTGATGTTTTATTGAGTTGTACACTTGAAATTTGTATGGTTTTGCAAACCAACGTCTCCCCAATAAATTCATTCAATCAATCAATCAAAAGAAAAGGACAGCCAAACCTGGCATTTAATTATTCTCAGGGAAAAAAGTGCAATAACGACAGCTGAAAACTATACTGTTGCTTCTGGCAGGCATTGTTCAGCAACATAACGAATGATGCGAGATAATTCCATCCAACATGTTAATACCTTCAACTACTTGGAGCAGCATTTTGCAGCTAACTAACCCATGAAGGCTTTGCTTTTCAAAATTATACATTTGGCAAGAAATTTACGAAAGTTCTTCCGTGTCTATGGATAGCTGGTCACACCTGCCCTTAACATTTCCAAGCCAAAATGTCTCTTCCATGCTCTATGGTGCATAACTCTACTGTCTCAACCAGAGCATTGATTCTTTTACAAAAAAAGAAAAAAAGCCAGTAGAACTCTTTACATGAAAATACAATTTATAGTCTTTCATTTCCATAATGGAATGTTAAAACGGGCACTTAAAGTTTACTTCAATCAATTGTAGGATGAGACAACATCCTAGATTGTTGGAACAGATAAAAGGGATGTAAAGATCTGCCTAGCCAAGGTCACTGCTTCCTTTCATAAGATAAAGGAAAAGCGGCAGTGACCACACACACACAGGATTCCTTTGTCCTTCATGTTACCCATACACACTCCCTTCCTCCATTTTTCTGTTGATAAAATGTAACAGGAGGGTAGCAAAGGACAAAAAGGAAGAATACTGATTAGGGTAGTTAATTAGGCAGACAGAAAGGGAGGAGGTCCAGAGAGGATAGCGGCATCTTGGCCTGAACAATGAAAACGGCCATAAACCAAGGATGGAGGAATCTCTGGCCTGAGCAGCTAGGAGAGCCATAAGGGAGATCAAAAGCAACTCCAACCAGCAAGATAAGGCGGGGAGGAAGACACACATTCACAGAGGATAAAGAAAAGAGGCTGTTTTACTCTTGGAGGGGAGAAGCCAGAGTTTCAGTCTCAAGGCTTGGCAGGATAAGGTTACTAGGTCACAGATGATAGATGGATGTTGCAAAATAAGGGAAGAGAAAGAGGGGAGCACCAAGTGAGGTTTGAGCTTTGAAACTAATACGATGTAGAAGAATGACCAATGGGAAAAGCAGGGGGCAGATCCTAGATTAAGGAAAGGGTCTCTAGAATATATAATACCTCAAGACAGAGAGAGCAGTGGCCACCCTCTTTAGGGGGTCCCTCTTAACCAGGAGAGACAGTCTTAGGAATAGAAACTTAAAATTAGGAGTTTTAGAGATAGTATCTGCTTGCAGTCAACTTTTTGTACTTCTCACCTACCACCTTTCGTCCATGGTTTCATTCTTCAAATCCA